CGGCGCCCTCGCCCGGCGTGCGACGCGGACACGGCCAGGGTGGCGGCCTCGGGGCTGAAGCCAAAGCGACCAGCAGCACGGACCTGGGAGGATTTACCGGCCACGACCACGACCACGACCACGACCACGACCATGACCACGAGCACGACCACGACCACGAGCATGACCACGACCACGACCACGACCACGACCACGATGACAGCGACACGTCTCCTGAGGAGACCGACGAACGTCCGCTTGTCCCCGACGTTCACGCCACGGGGACCGTGGCCCCCACGTGGACACACGAGGTGCCTCACGCTCCTTCCACGCAGCCCATCCTGGACGCCGTCAACGAAGAGCCCGTCGGTGAGCCCGTCGCCACAGAGGCCCCGTCCCCGGTGGGCGCTGGACCCACGCTGGAGCCTCCCTCGGGCGCCGTCTCGTCGGGCGAGCCGGACGCCGTGCGATCCGTCGAGCGAGAGCCGGGGATGAACTCGCAACCGGATGGCGAATCAATGAAAGCGGCGGCCTCCGGGCGCCTCGCTGGAACGCCCGCCTTGTCCGCGGTGGACGCCCGGACACCCGAGCCGTTGGCAGACGTCACGTTAGGGGCACCGGACATCCCAGGACAGGGACAGACGGACGAGCAAGCGGGTGGCCTCCAGCTTCTGCAAAACACCTTGAGCACCGGAGGCCACCCCGTGACAAAAGCGGGCACAGAGAGGAGACCCCCAAAGCTCCCAGGGGGAGATCGGCCCCAGACAGGGCCCCCCGACCCCGGGAGGCCTGAGAGTGAGCCTCGGGGCGTTGAGTCTAACACTCCGCCCGGCCCGGGCCTGGGAATGGACGGCAGGGTCACCCCGTTTCCGAGCCCCGGGGGAACCGCGCGCGGTCGTCTCCTGGACCAGGACGGCGCCACGGCAGGTGCCACCACGCCCGCCCTGAAGGCCTCTTCGCCGTCGTCGGCGCCCGCCCTTCACCCTTCCCGAAAAAGACCCAGCGGGAGGCGGCGACCACGACCCCACAAACCCCGACAGCGACACAGACAGACCCCGCCCACGGCGCCCGCCCCGGCGGACACCCCGTCGACCCGGCCCCATCGGCCGCCTGAAGACAAGACCCGCAAAGCACCGGGTGGCCTGCTGGTTCCTACGGTCGCGGTCCCCGGATACATGGCGACGACAGGGAAGCACGCCGAGCCCGTCACCGGGGGGTCCCCTCGAAGGAAACACGGGAAGAGGCCGGGCAGACACCGGTACGGCATGTCCACCCCGTCCGTGTCCAGGCCCCGCCGTCCAGGACACGAGCGTGAAGATCTCACCACCTCCAGCCCGGAAGCTGTCCTGGTATCTACGGCCGCGTCTCCCCGCACCGGGGACCCCCGTGAGCGCGCCGGAGGGGCAGAGCGCGGGACGGCCACCCCAAAAACACATCTATCCCGTCACACGTCCCAAGAGATGACGCCCGCCGCATACACGCCCACATCAGGCACTTATACTGTGGCCGATACAAGTGACCGTCAAACTGACCGTTTCGTCCCCGGGGAGTCGCTCACCGACGTCCCGTCGCCGTCTGGCTCCGAGGGGTCCACTGGCGGAGAATTTAAGAAACAGCCCCCTTCTCCCCGCTTTCCAGGAACCGGCGGCTGGGATCCCCCGCCGGCGAGGCCGCAGACAGACGCGCCTGTGACCGGCCCGTCGGAAACTCTCCCAGACCCGTCAGCCCTTTGGAAAGAGCCGGGGGACCTGGGGGTTCCCTCGGAGGCGTCCCCTTCGGCAGCGGCGGTCCCCACACGCTTCCCACGGGAAGACGGCGTCGCTTCGACGGCTCCACCCGGCGCAAACGGAGAGTCAGCATCCGCCGTGACGGCCCGGGGTGATCCTGGAACCGCCCCAGCGACCGTTCTTTCTGAAATGAGACCCCACGGCCCGCCTCCCGCGCCCGCGCCCACGGAGGAGCAGGTGTCCCAGTCCCCGTCCACTGCTCCCGTGTCTCTGGTCACGGCTGCGGCGAGGCCCACGCATCGCCCTCCGGGAGCGTCTCCGGTGCCAACGGCTCCCGACGAGAACGCGTTCCTCAATTACGTGGGGATCCCAGACGCCCCGACCCTCCCCGCGAGCAACGAGGGGACGCCGCTGGTGTGGAGCGGCAACGAATTATCCACCTCGTCTCCCAAAGGCGATGGATTTCACGTCACCCCAAGGCAGGAATTGGGGAAGGAAGCGTTCGACGATGGGACGCAAAACAGCCTCCCGCGCGGCCCGGGGGCGCCCCCCCAGGATGGGAGAGTCCACGTCTCCCACCCGCCGGCCAGAGTCCCCTGGCAACCGAGAGGGACAGCGAGACCCCCCCAAAGGACCACACAAAGCCCCTTGGGGTACCCGGTGACCCTCCAGCCTGCCCGTCACCTGACCAACAAGCCGGGGATAACCGCATACCCCTCAAGGGTCTTGCCAGACAAAAAGCACCTGGCGACCCCAACACTGTCCAGCCCGACGACTCCCGTTGGCCCGTGGCATCCTTCCAGGCCGGGTAAGGTCACGGACCGCGGCACGGGCTGGTTCCACGCCGAGTCCAAGGCGTTCGGAAATAACGACATCCCAGACCTGCGAGACGTGGCGGGCCGGCTTCCCGGCTCCCGAGTTGCTCGCCCTTCCGACGGGAGACTCCCTTTCATGTCCAACGGGACCGTCTCCTTCGCGCGGTTCGGGGTGATGCCAAAGCCCCAGGCACCCACCTCTCCGGCGCCAGGGGTGAGAGACAGAAACGTCAACCCGGGCGCCTACAATAGGATATATTCTCAGGGCATCACCCACGTGGACTTCGGTCCCCCAGCTCCCCCATCGTCACACCGCCCGAGGACCACGTCGCCGCCCTCACCCGACACCCAGCACGTCCCCACCCGGGGCGCCATCCCTTTCGTGACGTCCGCGGGCCCTCCGTCCAGGAGCCACCACCCCAGCAGCGCAAAGCTCTTCTCGGCGGCGGGGGGACCGCCCGCGTCCAAGTTCTGGACCCTCGGCGAAAGGCCCCAGATTATCACGAAATCCCCTCAGACCGTGACCGTCGCCGCGGACACGGACGCCATCCTCCCGTGCGAGGCCACGGGGAAACCCACACCTTTCGTGACGTGGACCAAGGTTTCTACAGGTAGGGCGCTGAAGCGTCGGCATTTCCACCGGGGCTTGGTGTCGGGGGTTGAACCCGCAATCCCGGGTACGCGGGATTCAAACCAGGGACCCTTCGGTCCACAGGCCGATGCCCGAACGGCACCCGCCGGGGCTTTGATTTCAATCTAGAGATGGGGTTGTTTCCGTTGCCTACGGGCACCAGACCCCAATAGAAATGTATATGTCTCCCCGTCTTGGACGAGGGAAGCCTGAGATCCAGACGTGGGCAGGGCTGGTTCCCCCAGAGGCCCGTCTCCTTGGCGTGTAGATGGCTGTCCCATCCCGTGTCCCCACATGGTCGCCCTTCTGTACATGCATCTGAGTCCTCATGTCCTTTGCTCCTAAGGACCCCGGTCCCATGGGATCAGGACCCACCGTAAAGACTTAATTTTACCTTAGTTACCTCTTTAAAGACCCGTCGCCGAAGACGGTCCCACCCTCGGGCCTTGGAAGTGAGGCATCAACCTATGATTTTATTTATTTATTTTATTTTATTTATTTGTTTTTAAATATATCTTTATTGATTTCAGAGAGAGGAAAGGAGAGGGAGAGAGAGACAGAAACATCAATGATGAGAGAGTCATTGATCGAGCCCACAACCTGGGCATGTGCCCTGACTGGGAATCAAACCCCGATCGCCTGGATCCTAGGTCGATGCTCAATTGCTGAGCCACACCCGGCCGGGCAAAAATCCTTTTATTTTAAAATCCTTACCCGACGTTGTGTTTTTCATTGATTCTAGAGAGAGAGGAAGGGAGTGAGAGAGAAACATATCGATGGCCTTCCATCGAGCCCAAGACCCCTCAGTGCTCCTGATGATGCTCCAACCCACTGAGCCACACCGGCCCGGCTGTCGTTATTATTATTTTTGATGCATTGATTTTAGAGAGAAAGGCACAGAGAGAGAGAGGAAGAGAGAAACATTGATTTCCACTTATTTCCACTTATTGATGCATCATCGGTTGATTTGTCTATGTGCCCCGATTGGAGATCGAACCGGCAACCTCACTGGATCAGGACGACACCCTAATCCATGGAGCTATCCGGCCCGGGGTTACAGAAAATTATTTAAAAAAAAACGCAGAGAAAAATTTCAACATTAAAAGAATAGGCCATAGTGCTATCGACCCAAACACCTCGCAAAGGATGTCTTAAAAAATAATAAAAAAAAAAAAATCAGGCTTTTCCAGTTTTTAAATATGGGATTTATTAGTCTTCAGGCCCGGGGAGGCCAACCGGTCAGGGATGAGCGACACAGAAAAGGTCGTTGGTTCCTCACTGTTCCTGGAGCAAGGGACACGCCAGGACGTGCAGGGCCACACGGGGAAGCACCAGGGCCGGTCAGATGCCACCTGGAGTTTCCACCCAATGCTCAGCTCCAGCAGATGGAGCAGAGGATGGTCGGCTGAGTTGGCTCCCCCGTCAGCCTCAGGAGCAGGCTGGGCAGAGGCGGACGGTGGCTGCAGGCCTGGGGCGTCCCTGCGGCCAACCCGGGAAGCTCAGCGGGGACAGGAGCCATGCAAACGAGGCAGAGGCCGGGCAAGCAGGGATGTACCTGCAGTGACGGAAATGAATGCAGGGGCCACCTTGGGAGCACCTGGGGCTGGGAAGGCTTCTAGAATCTTCTACGAAATCTACACGGGCTACCCGGGTTCTGGGATTCGGTGTCAGGGTCAAGTACAGGGAAAGAAAACATTTTCTCTGCCCCGCGCCGGAGGTGGGGCCGGCCCTTGCTTTTGCGGTTTCGGACGTGAAGAGAATGATTATTTTTTTTTATTGAGAGCATTACGGATGGCCCTTTACTCCCCACTGACCTCTCCACGTCCACTCCCACCCCTCCCTTGGCCTCCCCTACACTATTGTCTATTTCTGTGGGTTTTGCATATTTGCATATAAGTTCTTTGGTTCATCCCTTCCAGTCCCCTCTGCCCTCTGAGACCCCTCCGTCTGCTCCATGCTTCCATGTCTCTGGTCCGATTTTGTTCAGTTTATTTTGTTCATTAGATTCCACATATGACTGAGACCATGGGGCACTTGTCTTTCTCTGCCTGGTTATTTCACTCAGCATAATCCTCTCCAGGCCCCTCCCTGCTGCCCCGAAGGGTACAAGATCCACCTTTTTCTCAGCTGCATAGTATTCCACGGCATAGATGTACCACAGCTTTTTTAATCCGCTCGTCTACAGATGGGCACTTGGGCTGTTTCCAGATCTGTGGCGACTGCAAATTGCACTTCTATGAACATCGGGGTGCCTAAGTTCTTTCTGATGGGTGTTTCGGGGTTTCTTAGGGTATATTCCCAGAAGTGGGATCCCGTGAACAGAACTGTGGACAAGCCATCGTTGTTTGGTCTTTACCGAAAAGCCGTGTGTCTCAGGAACCTCACTGTCCCTGTGTTTGGCTTCCAGGAGCCCTCATGACCCCCAACACCCGAGTCCAGCGTTTCGAAGTCCTTAAGAACGGCACCTTCGTCATCCGGAAGGTGCAGGTGCAGGACCGCGGCCAGTACATGTGCACAGCCAAGAACCTGCACGGCGTGGACCGCATGGTGGTCCTGCTGTCCGTCTCGGTTCAGCAGCCCCAGATCGTGGCCTCCCACTACCAGGACGTCACCGTCTACCTGGGGGACACGATTGCCATGGAGTGTCTGGCCAAGGGGACCCCGGCTCCCCAGATCTCCTGGATCTTCCCGGACAGGAGGGTGTGGCAGACCGTGTCTCCGGTGGAAGGCAGGGTCACCCTGCACGAGAACCGCACCCTGTCCATCAAAGAGGCGTCCTTCGCGGACCGGGGCGTGTACAAGTGCGTGGCCAGCAACGCGGCCGGAGCGGACAGCCTGGCCATCCGCCTGCACGTGGCGGCCCTGCCGCCCGTCATCCATCAGGAGAAACTGGAGAACATCTCCCTGCCCCCGGGGCTCAGCATCCACATTCACTGCACCGCCAAGGCCGCGCCCCTGCCCAGCGTGCGCTGGGTGCTTTGGGACGGCACCCAGATCCGCCCTTCCCAGTTCATCAACGGGAATCTGTTCGTCTTCCCCAACGGGACCCTCTACATCCGCAACCTGGCGCCCAAGGACAGCGGGCGCTACGAGTGTGTGGCCGCCAACCTGGTGGGCACCGCGCGCCGGACGGTGCAGCTGAACGTGCGGCGGGCCGCGGCCAACGCCCGCATCACGGGCACCTCCCCGCAGAGGACCAACGTCCGCTACGGCGGGACCCTCCGGCTGGACTGCAGCGCCTCCGGGGACCCCTGGCCGCGCATCCTCTGGAGGCTGCCCTCCAAGCAGATGATCGACACCCTCTTCAGGTACGTGCGCCCGGCCCTGGCTCGCCAGAGGAGCGCCTGGCTCCTGCGCCCGCCTCCCCTTTGCGCCCTGGGGACAGGCCCGGGTCACCTCTTCGTGGAGCGAGGGACCTCGGCCAGGACGGAATCGCCCAAACCAACCTTTATCACCTACGCTCCCCGCTTTCCCACCCAGCACCCCGAACAAAACAAATACGTGTGTGTGTATTAACCCGCACCCGCGGGTATTATTTTCCGGTGATTTTTTTAAATTTTAAGACAGTGAAAGGGACAGAGAGAGACAGAGAGAGACACATGGATTGGTGGCCCCCCCGAAACCTGCCCGACCAGGGCCCGGGGATGGCACCTGCCACCCAGGTACATGCCCTTGACCAGGAATCGAACCCGAGACCCCTCGGCGGGCAGACCAACGCTCTTAACCACCGAGCAGCACCCGCCGGGGCAAATAGCTCCTGTTTTAATCATAATTTTCAACTGTCCTTTTAATGACAATATCGGCTGAAGCGATCGACGTTCACAGGTAACTTCTACAGAGCACACGGGAGCCTAGGGTGTTTAAATCGCAGCGATGAAGGGGCGTCGAGCGAAGTGTTGAAGGCGGGACATTTCTGTCGCCTCGGCTGCTTTATTTTTATTTATTTATTTTTTAATATGTTTTTATTGATTTTTATTTTATTATTTTATTTTTTAAAAATATATCTTTATTGATTTCAGAGAGAGGAAGAGAGAGAAAGAGAGACATTGATGATGAGAGTCATTGATCGGCCGCCTCCCGCATGCCCCTGACTGGGGATCGATCCCGAAACCCGGGCCTGGGCCCTGACCTGGACTCGAACCCTGATCGCCTGGATCCTAGGTCGACGCTCAACCGCTGAGCCACGCCTGGCCGGGCTTAATTTTTAAATTTTTAAATTACAGCTGACGCACATTGTTAGGTTCGTTTCGGGTGCACAGCCTCGGGATTAGACATTCATGCAACTTACACAGGGATCCCCCCGATTATTTCCTTCCACTCTCTCTGCAAAGCAATGGAAAAAATATATATATATCCTCAGGTGAGGTTTTAAAAATAAAAAGAAAATAAAAGAGCCCGGCTGGGCATGGCTCAGCGGTTGAGCTTCGACCTAGGATCCAGGCGATCGGGTTTGATTCCCGGTCAGGGCACAGGCCAAGGTCGTGGGCTTGATCAATGACTCTCTCATCATCGATGTTTCTATCTCTCTCTCTCCCTCTCCTGTCGTCTCTCTGAAATCAATAAAGATATACTTTAAAAAAATATAAAATAAAATAAAATAAAATAAAATAAAATAAAATAAAATAGGTGCTAATTGGCAAAACAGAATGAAGGAAACACCCCGGGTGCCACGGGGGAGATGCCCCGGGTTTACGGAGCATCATCAGCATCCACGGACCCCCCAGCTCAGGCCGGAGGGGACCTGTTTCCCGTTGCCTTTGGCGCGGCCGGGGTTGCGTTCGCCGTGATCAGATGACAACCGTGCCCCCTTTTTGACTGGTATCTCCCGGTGAATCAGAAATCATCCCGGCAGGTCCGTGATTTCCATTTCATCTCCTGCGTGAAGGCCATGAAACAAGCCACGTGGGTTCCACGAAAGGGCGGCCTCCTGGCCCTTCGGACGCAGGGGAAGCCGTTTAAAATTCACGTGTCACAGCGCCCGGGGGACGCGTGGGCTCGCGTGCGGCCCCAAGCTCCTCGGTTCATCCTGATTACGATCGGAACACGTTGGTTCACGTTTCAAAGTGTTGACAGAAACAGGAGCCTCTGTCCAATTTTCTTTTTTAATTTTTTTTTATTAATTAATCTGAAGAGCGAGGGTGTTTTTTCCGTTGATTTTTATAGAGAGTCTAAGGGAGGGGTCAGCAGGGGAGAGAGAGATGCTGACGGGACAGACGCACATCGACGGGCGGCCGCCCGCCAGACCCTGCAGCAGAGACTCACGCCCTGGGCCAGAATCGAACCCGAGACCCCTCAGTCGCGGGGCCGACGCCGTAACCACGGAGCCACCCCGGCCATGGGTGGGCAGATCTTTGGCTTCCGACCCCAAGACGTATTCAAAAAATCTTTCTCGGCTTCACCCCCACCTGACCGCACGCCGTTAGTAGTTGCTTTTTTATTAACGATGAACCTCCGATGACCACGTGGAATTCAATCCTGGGCAGGGGACGTGCTGGGTTCTTTTGTTGTTTTTTTTAAAAAAATAAATAAATCCAGCACAGTTCCAGACGTAGAATCGCATGGTGTTGAGAAAGGAGTTCAGAGATCACGCCCTGGCCGGTGGGCTCCATGGTCGGCCTCGCGCATGGGGAGGTCCTGGGTTCGAATTCCCGGTCAAGCGCACGTACCTGGGTTGCAGGTTGGATCTCCAGGCCCGGTTTGGGGGGGACGTGTGTGCAGGAGGCAACCAACGGCCGTGTCTCTCACACGTCCGTGTTTCTCGCTCTCCCCCCCCTTCGCCCTAATAGAGCTGAAGACTTTCACTGCATTTCACGTTTTTTGGGTTTTATTTTTCTCTCAAGATTTTTTATTGATTTTTAGGACCAGAGGAAGGGAGAGAGAGAGAAACATCGGGGATGAGACGGACTCACGGATCGGCTGCCTCCTGCACGGCCCTTTCCTGGGGTTTGAGCCCATAACCCGGGCACGTGCCACCACCAGGAATCGAACCCCAACCTCCCGGTTCCTAGGTCGGTGCTCAGTCCGTAGCCCGGCCACCCAAGGGTGACTCGGCCAGGGAGCTCCTATTTGCAGTAAACGCATAATTTCCGTATTGGGATGAGGCCCCTCTACCCCGTCCAGGCCGCAGAAACCACCGGGCACGTGGCAGGAGCAGGTGCGCGCGGTTACCGTTCTGGGACCCGCGCGGTCTGCGTCCCAGACAGGGCCGCGGGGGGACTGACGCCTCGTTTCTTTTCTCTGTGCCCATCAGCTTCGACGCCAGAGTGAAGGTGTTTGCCAACGGGACGCTGGTGGTGAGATCGGTCACCGAGAAGGACTCCGGGGATTACCTGTGCGTCGCCCGAAATAAGGTCGGGGACGACTTTGTGGTCCTCAAGGTGAACGTGGTCATGCAGCCGGCCAAGATCGAGCACAAAGAAGGCAACGACCACAGGGTCTTCTACGGCGGCGACCTCAAGGTCGACTGCGTGGCCTCGGGGCTGCCCAACCCCGAGATCTCCTGGAGCCTCCCGGACGGCAGCCTGGTCAACTCCTTCATGCAGTCGGACGACAGCGGCGGGCGCGCCAAGCGTTACGTGGTCTTCAACAACGGCACCCTCTACTTCAACGACGTGGGGCTGCGGGAGGAAGGCGACTACACCTGCTTTGCCGAAAACCAAGTCGGGAAGGACGAGATGACCGTGCGCGTCAAGGTGGTGGCCGAGCCCGCCGCCATCCGCAACAAGACCTACGCCGTGGTCCGCGTCCCCTACGGGGACGTGGTCACCGTGGCCTGCGAGGCAAAAGGCGAGCCCACGCCCAGGGTGACCTGGCTCTCTCCGGCCAACAGGCCGATCCCCGCGTCCTCGGAGAAATACCAGATCTACCAGGACGGCACGCTCCTCATTCAGAAGGCCCAGCGCTCGGACAGCGGCAACTACACCTGCGTGGTCAGGAACAGTGCCGGGGAGGACCGGAAGGTGGTGTGGATCCAGGTGGACGTCCAGGCGCCCAGGATCAACGGGAACCCCGATGCCATCACCACTGTGCGCGAGATCGCGGCCGGGGGGAGCCGGAAACTCATCGACTGCCGGGCCGAGGGCGTCCCGACCCCCAAAGTCCTGTGGGCGTTCCCCGAGGGCGTGGTGCTCCCGGCCCCGTACTTTGGGAACCGGGTGACCATCCATCGCAACGGCACCCTGGACATCAAGAGCCTGCGGAAGACTGATTCCGTGCAGCTGACCTGCATCGGACGCAACGAAGGAGGCGAAGCCAAGCTCGTGGTCCAGCTGACCGTCCTGGAGGCCGCCGAGAAGCCCGTCTTCCACGACCCGGTCAGCGAGAAGATCACCGCCATGGCCGGCCACACCATCAGCCTCAACTGCTCGGCCGCCGGCACCCCGACCCCCACGCTCGTGTGGGTGCTGCCCAACGGGACGGAGCTCCCGAGCGGCCAGCGCCTCCAGAGGTTTTACCACAAGGGCGACGGGAAACTGCACGTCAGCGGCCTCTCCTCCGTGGACGCCGGGGCCTACCGCTGCGTCGCCCGCAATTCCGCCGGCCACACGGAGAGGCTGGTGTCCCTGAAGGTGGGGTTGAAGCCGGAGACCAGTCCGCAGTATCGCAACCTGGTCAGCATCGTCAACGGGGAGACGCTGCACCTGCACTGCCTCCCGCCATCGGGGGGCCGCCCGGGGCGCCCCTCTTGGACGCTCCCCAACGGGATGTCCCTGCAGGGTCCCCAGACACGGGGACGCTTTTCCCTGTGGGACAACGGCACCCTCACCGTGCGCGGGGCCTCCGTGTTCGACAGGGGGACCTACGTGTGCAGGACGGACACCGAGCACGGCCCGTCGGCGGTCAGCTTCCCCGTGATCGTCATAGCGTACCCCCCGCGGATCACCAGCGAGCCCACGCCGGTCATCTACACCCGGCCCGGGAACACCGTCAAGCTCAACTGCATGGCCATGGGCATCCCCAAGGCCGAGATCACCTGGGAGCTGCCGGACAGGTCGCAGCTGACGGCCGGAGCCCAGGCCCGTCTCTACGGACACAGGTTCGTCCATCCGCAGGGGTCGCTCACCATCCAGCAGACAACGCAGAGGGACTCGGGCTTTTACAAGTGCACGGCCAAAAACATCCTGGGCAGCGACTCGAAGACGACCTACATCCACGTGTACTGAGTCGGCGGCGGAGATGAGGGGCCGGGGGACCCACAGGCGTGGCCTGGGAAGCCGGTCGGGACAAAGCCTCACGTGTCGGGAGCCCTCAGGTGCAGAGTCCGATTCTAAACGCCTTGGTCATGGGGCCCAGGGGCCCCCAGGTTGAGCTGCATTTTCTGGTGGATCCTGACCTTGACCTTGACCTTGACCTTGACCTCGACTGGTAGGTGTTGGCCGAAGGAAGCAACGCGTAGACCGGGAAGGCGGACTCGGCCTCTCATGTTTACAGGACGCCGTGTGCAAATTGGAGATTTTCCGTGGGACTGACGTCGGGGCCCCTCGGATGCCCGAAGCGGTGTCTGGAGGGCCCACGAGGACCGTTTGCCGAAGAGGAACCACCGGAGGGATGAACGGCGCCTGATGGTCTCGCCTCGTTAACCCGCTGCAGTTGGACGCGTCGACCTTTCGAGAACCAGTGCCCACCTTCCTGGTATGGCGCCTGCCGCTTCCAAACTCCAGTCGGCCCCAGAAGAGCTTAGAAAAGAAAATTTTTTTTTTTTAAACGTACAAGTTTCCTACAATCCAGCTACCGTTTTATATGAACGACTCTTTTCTACGCCCCCTCCTGGAACTCTCTTTTTATATAAATATATATATATTTTTTTTCGGTTTCTAATTAGACCATGAGCCTAGAGAGAGAGAAACGCTCTACGTCTCATGAAAAATAATAAATTATTGGTCTTTACAAGACTTGAATACGCTTAGAGCAGCCCTGGAAATGCAAGTAGGAAATTCTTGCCCGAGTTCCTTCCGATTCCGACGCACCTTGGTTCTGTTACCTTTTCCAGGAACGTGGGGGGGATATTGCGTTTCCCGATTTATGAAGTTGAAGACCTCTCGTGGGGGTGCAGGGCTGAAGGGAAGGCGAGAGCTGAGACAGGACCCCGAAAAACCAACCCCGAGACGTCACCCCGCAGAGCAAACCCCGAGACGCCCGAACGAGCTCCCCAAAGTCTCTCCCCCTCGACCATGTGTCCGCAGCAGAGGGTAGCAGGCCCCGTATTTCCGCGGCTGCTTGACTGTATTTTTTAAGGCCCACACCATGTACATTTGGATAATAAAATGACATTTTCCAAATTACCAGGCAGTGTCAACATGGGTGATTTTTCAAGTACAAAAAAAAATGGGAATTTGGGCTTGAATCAGAGGGGCTGGGCCCACCTGGCGCGGCTCCGCGGCTGAGCATTGTGCCATGAACCGGGAGGTTGGGGTTCGATTCCCGGCTGGGGTTGCGGGGTGAGGGGATGGATCCCCAATAGGGGGCGTGAAGGAGGCAGCCGATCAATGTTGTTCTCTCTCACCAATGTTTCTCTCGCTCTCTCTCTCCCTTCCTCTCTCGCTCTAAAAAAAGTTTTAAAAATCAATTAAAATGTATTTTAAAAAAAATAATACGCTAACTACCTGCTTTGTGATCGCAAACACAGCCCGTCCGGATGAAGCTACCAGACGGGAAACGATGGCTCCAACCTGGAACTGGACGGAAAATGCAAGATGCGGGGGTCCCCGAGGGAGCTTTTTCTGAGCTTTTTTTTTAATCATGAAAATCCCAAGTGCATGTAAGCAGTTTGGTGAGTGGGTGGCTGCCAGCAGGACCGGAGGTTTCTCGGGGTGCGAGCAAAAAGGAGGGAAGAGCTCAGGGTCCCTGTCACAGGGCAGACAAGGTTTTGAATGCATGTGACATGGGCCTGCCCCTTAAGGCTGGTGGGTGCCCACAAGGACCTTCCTTTTATGTGGGCGTCAGATCACAAGGGCACCACCCGCTTGATAGGATTATTGAGAAAACCACTGAGATGACCTCTGGATGGTGGTAAAACAAAGGCCAGAAATCCTATTTAAAAATTTTTTTAAAATCCTGCAATTGTGCCCAAGGCCTAGTGACATAACACAAGTTGTCTGGGAGAAAAATATACATTTGTGCAGTTGGGGTTTTTTCGTAAATCCTAAACTTAGGATATTTTTTTTCCATTCTTTTTCCAAAAGAGAGTGGAAGGGAGGGAACGGGGAGAGAGAGAGATGGGTCGCCCCCCGCGGGCACCCTAATGGGGGTCAGAGAGCGAACCTGAAACCCAGGGCCATGGCCTTGACTGGGAATCGAACTCACGACCCTTTGCTGCTCCAGGCTGACGGTCTAAGCACCTACCCATGCTGGCCGGGGGCTGCACAATTTTATTTTGTTTTGTTTTGTTTTTAAATATATCTGTATTGATTTCAGAGAGAGGAAAGGAGAGGGAGAGAGAGAGAAACATCAATGATGAGAGTCATGGATCGGCTGCCTCCTGCACGCCCCCAACTGGGGATTGAGCCCCCAACCCGGGCCTGTGCCCTGACCAGGATTCGAACCCCGATCATTTGGATCCGAAGTCAACATTCAACCGCTGAGCACCCCCCCCCAGCCGGGCCACAATTTTGTTTTTAAAAACCCTCTAGGAGGCGACTTCGTTACGTCAAAGGAAAGCCCGTCCCCGGCCGGCCTGTGGGAAAGATGTTAGGCGGGGAGCGTGCAGACAGGAAAACAGAGCCCAGGGGTGTTAGCAGAAGGTCCCGATGGCAGCGTGTCTTGTACTGACGGAGATACGGAGCCGAGAAGCTCCCTGGGGCAGGCGGCACCCGAGACAGGGGTCCCCCAGGGTTAAGCCAAGGCGGGGAGGCCGGTGGCCACGGCTGAGAATGAATATCTTCTCTTCTGCCCGCCTCGCTTCCACGCTCTTGTTCGTCCATTTCATTGTGCACCCCAGCCAGGATCTACCCGATTCGGGGACCCTCCTGGGGACCCTTCTGACAGGCAGAAGGTGAGACTCAAATGCCCGGGAGGGGACCCAGCTCCCAGAGGTTGCCCTGGAAGATGAAATGGAACCGAACGCACAGGCAGGGACGTNGCCTCCGGGAGGTTGCCCTGGAAGATGAAATGGAACCGAACGCACAGGCAGGGACGTTGGTCTCCTTTCTTTCCAGCTGCGTCCACTGAAGGCCAGGGCCGGACACACTGGAGGCGCTCGAGCAGTGAGTCCAGCGGCCGTCATGAAGGGGCTTGAGGTTCCCCTCGGGCTGAAGGTCACCCTGAGGTTGGCCTCACTCTGCCTTCGCGCCCGGGAGGCGCATAGATGCTGACTTTTCCCGGCGCGGGAAACAACGGGTGCGCCTGTCCTGCGGTCCCTCCTGAGTTTGCCCCGTCGGACGGGCCACGTTCACGCTCAGTGACCCTCAAAAAAAAACCCGGGACACAGAGCCGACGGGGGGTAGGTGGCGCGTTGGGCAGGAAGGAGAGAGAACTTTGTCAGGGAGCTGAGACGAGCGTCGCAAGGCCTCGCTCCGATGTGGGATCCAGCAAACGCAATAAACCGAGGCGCAAAATAGAAACTGAGAGTCAGAGGCGGGAGACAGACGGACGGAGGTCAGAGGATGGGGGAGACGGGCGAGCAGATGGGAGCCGGTGGGAGGATTAGCTGAAGGACATGCAGAAATAAATAAAATAAAATAAAAAATAAATCATTATAGGAATATATATGTGTATCTATATCTATATCTATATCTATATCTATATCTATATCTATATCTATCTATCTATCTATCTATCTATCTGTCTATCTATCTATCTATCTATGTGCTATGCATATAAAATAAAGGAACAAAATATATGATGTTTCCAGATTCTTAGGATATATTCCTAGAAGTGGGGTCCCTGGGTCAAAAGACAGCTCTATTTTTAATTTTTTGGGGGGCCCTGCACACTGTTTTCCATAGTGGCTGCACCCAGTGTTCCCAGCAGCAGTGCACCAGGGCTCCCCTTTCCCCTCACGCTCATCAGCACATTTACTCCGGAAAGTAATGCTTATTAGTTAATAATGCTCTTTTTGCGAGTCTGAGGGTTTTTTTTGTGCCTGTCGCATAGCCCCACATAAGACAGGAGGCCATAAAAAATGTCGTGACGTTTAAATGAGATGATACTTGTAAAAGGCTCCCCGTGGAAATGCAAAAAAGCAGTTGTTATTATAATTATTATTTTATTATCATTATCACTGCTTTAAAAAATATATGTTTTTATTGATTTTTTTTTTAAGACAGAGAGGGAGAAACACCCATCAGCTGCTTCCTGCACGCCCCCGACTGGGGATCGAACCCAGAACCGGGGCACGTGTGCCCTGAGCGGGAATCGAACCCGTGACCTTTTGGTGCACGGGCCTACGCCCCAACCATCTGGATGGAATGATCGTGTGATTCAAATGAGCACATGAGCTATAATTTTCAGCTGCGATGTAAAATATACAAGACTTTAAGCAAAGTATGACTCCTGGATGGTGGAGCTCGTGGGGTTTCACGACCACCCCCAGCTCCCTGGCCCGCGAGCGGCGGAGAAAAACTGCCTGCAGTCGGGCCAATATTTTCATTGGAGTCTTAAACACGGCAAATATTAAATTTTTAAAAATTTTTTTTTACCATGTTCCAGTGAAGACGTCCAGGCTCCAAAGCCTCCTTTGTCATTGAGGAGACAGAAAGCACAGGGCCTATTTCCCTTTTGTAGAAAGTCACCGGGAGGCTTGAGAGCAGTGATGTGTCCTGAGGGGAAACGTCATTCAAATTTCTCTTAACATCTCGATGGACACAGAATCAATAAGAATCAATATAAGTTTATTTCTATAGAACAAAATGTGGATGTACTGATTTTGGAAATAAAAAAGCAAAGCTAGTTTTGTGTTTGTTTTTTTTTAAAATTCATGTCCATTGCCCGCCGTATGTGGCTCAGCGGTTGAGTGTCGACCTGGGATCCAGGCGATCCGGGTTCGATTCCCGGTCAGGGCACATGCCCGCGTTGTGAGCTCGATCAATGACTCTCTCATCATTGATGTTTCTATCTCTCTCTCTCTCCCTCTCCTTTCCTCTCTCTGAAATCAATAAAGATATATTTAAAAAATAATAAATAAATAAAAATAAAAAATTATAATAATAAAAATAAAAAATAAATAAATGCATGTCCAGCAACACAAATTTATATATTTTCAATAACCAAGATATGGAAGCAACCCAAGTGCCCATCAATAGGCGAGCGGACAAAGAAAACGTGATACCTTTCTTTACACGATGGAATATTACTCGGCCATGAAAAAGAATGAGCTCTTACCATTAGCAACCACCTGGATGGACCTAGAGGCTATTATGCTCAGTGAAATACGTCGGACAGAGAACAACAAACGCCACATGAGCTCACTTATATGTGGAATCTAAACAACAAAATAAACTAACACACAAAACAGAAACAGATTCATAGACACAAAGGACAGACGGATGGTATCGGGGTGGCTGGGTGAAAAAGGGGAACGGTATTAAGAAGTAAAAATTGGTCATTATGGAATTATCCCAGGGCTATAAATTACAGCGTAGGAAATATAGTCAATAATATCGTAATAACTACGTATGGTGCCGGGCGGGTACTGGAAATATTGGGGGGGGATCACTTTGTAAAATATATGACCGTCTACTTTATAGACAAACCGACCGAACGTCATTGAAAAATATTTAACACACTTAAAAATATTGAACAAAAAATAAAAATAAAATTATAAGATAAACAGAAAACCTTAGAGATTCCACGCATGACCCGAAGGCTGGTGCAGCCCTGTGGATTATTTTATAATTTATATTGTAAATTGGATTATTTTATAATTTTATATTGTATGAGCTTCGGTGAAATGTGTCGGAATAATTCCGCAGTTCATTTTCTGGGTCCGGACGGGGCGTTGGGGTTTGGAGCCGTCCTCGGGACTTGGCTCCGGGTGACTGTGAAAATAATGATGTGAGAAAACCCTCTTTTCTGTTTTTCTTTCTGGCTGATGGTCGGAGGTTGAGCTCTTTTAAATAAACGGTTAAAGGAAGATATTCAGAAACACACTTTTGCGGGATCCAGGATTCATTGCTGATTCTGCAAAATGAGATTTTTTTTTTTTTTTGTCAAGCCAGGGCTTAAACTAATTTAAAAAAAAATAATAACCACTGAGATTTTTTTTTTTTTTTATACAGAAAATACTGCATTTTGGACGTTTCGAGAAGCAGGGAAAGAGTCTTTCCTAATAGTCTTTCAGCAAGAACCGGAAAAAGTGCAGAAAAGACCACCCACCCAGAGGCTCAGAAAGAATTGGTCCGAATAAAAATGCATCGGGGGCCGTTTGGGAGAAAAACGCCAACTTTCTAATGTTTTCACCTGTTACTTTTTTTCCTAACAGCCTTTGTTTCTTTTATTTATTTTCATTTTTTTCTTAATCTTTGCTGGAGGATATTTTTTCCATTTATTTTTAGAAAGAATGGGAGAGAGAGAGACAAAGAGACATCGATTGGTTGCCTCCTGGCCCCGAGACCGGAGCCCGGGATCGAACCTGCAACCCAGGTATGTGCCCTCGACTGGGAATCGAACCCGTGACCCTTCCGTGCGCCCGCGGACGCTCTAACCCCAGAGCCCCGGCCAGTGGGGCTCCTTTTTTTCTTAGTTATAAAGAACCACCTTCATTTCTTACTTATAAAGAACAAACTACGGAAACGTTCAAAACCACGCGAAACCGTGAAAACGCTCCTCGGACCCATCGCTCCAAGACAAATGCTCTCCAAACGGGTCGCGTTGGAGGCCCGGCCGAAACCGACCCAGTTTATCCTCTCGGTTCTGTTCATAACCCAAACCACGCGGATCCCGCCCCGTTTATTCTCCCTGCGAAAGCCCGCGGGGGGCACGGGCCCGCTGTCCGATTGGCATCGGGTCACGTAACGGGGGATGATTCGCATCGTGCCCTTTAGTGCGACGGTCATCGGGCAAACGGATGGGTGGCATCTCCCTGTTGCTAGCGGGAGCAGGGCCCTTGGGATACCTCTGGAATAAGCGTTTCGGGGAGACCCCCCGCGGGACGGTGAGATGTGGTAGAGAGGCTTCATTTGGGGGAAATGTCATCCCTTGGTTTGCAAAGTGCCCCATGTCCCTCGGTCCCGTCCTGGGCGAGGTGCAGCCGGGGGCTCAGCAGAGCCGGAAGCAAAGCCAGTGTCCAGTGTCCGTCCAGCATCAGGCTCCTTGCAGCCCCTTCGTCCAACGTGTGTGGGGTCCGCAGGGCCAGGGGGTCATGTGGGCAAATGCAGGGGACCCCTGCAAGAAGAGCCCCAAGATATGTGGCCGATGACCTGTTTCCAGGGGTGACTAAGAGGCAGGTACCTTCCCTGGGTCACCCAGGCTTCACCGGGCCGGCCTATGATATGTTCCTTCCCCGTTAATTAACGACCAGGTTTAATTACGACGGAATCAGAGCTGTTATCCGACGACACCGACGTGCAATGAAAGGTGGGACCCCAGCCCGGCCGGCGTGGCTCAGTGGTCGAGCGTCGACCCACGAACCAGGAGGCCACAGGGTTCGATTCCCGGTCAGGGCACGGGCCTGGGTTTCGGATCTGATCCCCAATACGGGGCAAGCAGGAGGCAGCCGATCGATCAATGTCTCTCTCTCTCTTTAAAAATCAATTTTTTAAAAAAAGAATATGATCGATCTGGGTGCGCATCACGGTGTTTTTTTTTTTGGTTTTTTCCCGCCACACTTTTGGGTTGTCTCTGCATAAATTTATAACATCCTCAGAGGCTCAAATGGGCCCAGCGAAGGGTGTGCCAAATATTTGGAAAGCGTCGTCCGAAAAGGGATTTCCAACGTCCCCCGCGGCCGCGGCCGGGCCCACGGCGGGCCTTCCGGAGGAGCCCAAGGGTGGCCGTCTTCGCGACGAGGCCTCCTTGGGTCGCCCGACTTTCCCTCTGCCTTCTGGGTTGCGGAGTTAATCCCCCAACCGCGGACTTTTGGCCGTGTCCCGGGGGAATTTCATTTATGAGCTCGTTCCCACATTTCCGTGGAGCTGTTTAGAGTTTGCTGCTTGAGGAGCAGGAATCATTAACATAATGAGGCATTAGCAGGTTGTAAATATACCAGACGCATGACAAGGCGTTAATACTTGTCCCAAATCCAACAAATACTTTCTTTTTTTACAGTCGGATTTGTTTGTTTAACTGTGTTTTGGTGGTTTTTGTGGTTTTTTTTGAAATACAGACTTTTTTAAATTGATGGTAGCTGTCTCTCTCATTTTCTTAAAAAATATATGTTTTTATTGATTTTTGGAGAGAGAGAAACGTCAATGGTGAAAGAGTCATGGATCGATGGCCTCCTGCACACCCCCCGACCGGGGCTCGAACCCGCAACCCGGGCCTCTGCCCTGACCGGGAATCGAACCCTGGTTCATACGTCCATGCTCAACCGCTGAGCCACACCGGCCAGAGGTAGAATATTTTTTATTTTTAAATATTACAACTTACAACATTAGAGCTCGACCGCATGACGTGAGGCGAAGGCCGACCTTTCTTAGACCCGAACGTGAAACCGATTCCTCTAATTCCGCATCTGAGGATATTCCCCACATCCTCGCAAAAGCGCCCCTTGCGTGAAGCGCCCACGCGGGTGTCTGCGCTGGCCGGTCGTAGGGGTTTTTATAACATATTTGAATATGATCCTATGTGTGTGTGTCTGTTTTTAACATTTCCATATTTTCATAGGTATCCTGTCCTATTTTGCCTTTAGATAAATTTCATTTACTGATGATTTCATAAGAAAAGGTCCCTGAGATTTCAACGTGGGTTTTTAAAAATACGAATTCGTTTCGCAACGTGATGTTCCCATAATAGGTCTGTCTTCCCAAAGGTGTGCGTCGTGTCCGGCCCATGCTCAGGGCTCGAGCGTCGACCTAGGATCCAGGAGGTCACGGGTTCGATTCCCAGTCAGGACACAGGCCTGGGTTGCGGGTTCGAGCCCCAGTCGGGGGCGTGCAGGAGGCAGCCGACCCATGACTCTCATTATGAATGTTTCTCTCTCTGTCTCCGTGTCCCTTCCTCTGTCTGAAATCAATAAAAACGTATTTTAAAAGAAAGAAAGCAGCCGCTGAGTGCTCTCCAACGTCGCAGGGTAAATAGAGCAGGTCCAGGCTTGGCCAGCGGCTCGGGGTGAAGCCCATAACAGGGGCGACTCCGTCGAAAGCTCTTTGCACAGGCCTGCGGCGTGAGTCACCTTAGAGCTCCAAGCGCCGTAAGAGCGCCCGGCGAGGGAAATCAAGGGAACGAATTATGCCCGAAGGCTGGGGCGTCTCTGTCGGGCTCTCATTTTATTTTTTTTTCCCCCCGGGTGACCGTGGCCATGGCAGCATTTGGAAAACATTCCCTTACTATCCTCTCGGTTTATGGTGAGGCTCAAATCCTGTGTCATAAAAAAATGCCAACAGGCGGGGAAAGGCTGAGCCGGGATAAAGGAGCTGTTTGGAGAGACAGAGGGGAACCACGGAGACAAAAAATAAAAATAAAAATAAAAAATAACACATAGAGCCCTGGCTGGTGGGGCTCAATGCTTAGAGCATCGGCCTGCCCACACCCAAGAGTCCTGGGTTCGATTCCCGGTCAAGGGCGTGCACCTGGGTTGCAGGCCCGATCCCCAGCCCTGGTCGGGGCGCGTGCGGGAGGCAACCCATGGATGCGTCTCAGTCACATCCACGTTTCTCTCTCTCTCTCCCTCCCTCCTTTGCACTCTCTCTAAACGTCAATGCAATAAATAAATAAATAAATAACAACCCTGGGCTACAATTAACACAAAAATAAATTTAAATAAATTTAAAAATAAATGAAACCCTTCTCCTGTCCCCGCTCATTTTATTTTTTAGGTGTCGGTTGACCCATCCGCCTGAGGTCTGACGTCTCAGAAGCCGACCCGGACAGAAAGGGCGTCCGACAAACTTGTTTTGAGAGCAACATAGAGGGGAAAATAAATAAACCAGGAAAGGCCAGACCTCAGGCCCATTCTGCAGAGGGATCCCGCTTGGATGTCCCGAGGGTACGTTGGATCCTGATGCCTATTTCTATTTTTTTTTAAATATATTTTTATTGATTTCAGNAAGGGTACGTTGGATCCTGACGCCTATTTCTATTTTTTTTAAATATATTTTTATTGATTTCAGAGAGAGGAAGGNGAGGGTACGTTGGATCCTGATGCCTATTTCTATTTTTTTTTAAATATATTTTTATTGATTTCAGAGAGAGGAAGGGAGAGGGAGAGAGAGAGAAACATCAATGATGAGACTTATTGATCGGCTGCCTCCTGCACGCCCCCGACCAGGGATCGAGCCCGCAACCTGGGCATGTCCCCTGAGCAGGAATTGAACCCTGACCTCCTGGATCCTAGGTTGACTTTCAACCGCTGAAGCCACACCAGCTGGGCCTGACCCATGGATTTCATATACGAACCCAAATTGGCTCCAGAACTGCAGCGATGGAAACGTGAAGACAGCTCGAGAGCACTTTGCGGACCTGGCTTTTACCCGCACAGCAGGCTCGCCGGGCCCCCAACAGCAGCCTGGGAGACGCGCAGGAGATGACAGCCGACTTCCTCTCTCCATCGCTCATTTGGATGAAACAATTGAAGCATCCCAAGCCCCGAATGACCCAGGGGCCTGCAGACGCCCAGTCGGCCTGAATTCCGCCGTCTGTCTCCTCTCGGGTGGGTTCCAGGTGCTGCCGGGCCGCGGGATCCGAAAACGTTTGTCAAGACGGCCCGGCAGCAGCTCATCTGACCTGCGTGTTTGACACTCGGCATCTCCGAGGAGCCAGCATCTTACCCATTTTTTTTAAACGTGTGTAGCCCGGTTGGGGTGGCTCAGCCCTTGAGCATCGGCCTAGGATCCAGGAGGTCTGGGTTCGATTCCCCGGCAGGGATATGCCCAGGTTGCAGCCTCGATCTCCAGTCGGGGGCGTGCAGGAGACAGCCGATCAATGACTCTCTCATTATGGATGTTTCTCTCTCTCTCTCTCTCTCTGAAATCGATAAATATATATATATATATATTTTTAAAAAAACAAACAAACAACAAACGTGCGCAAAACGGCGTCTTCCGAGGGCAAGATTCTGGCCCAAGTGCCCATCGGGAGACGAGTGGATAGAAAAGCTGTGGTACATCTACACCATGGAATACTACGCAGCTGTGAAAAAGGTGGATCTCACACCCTTTGGGACAGCATGGAGGGACCTGGAGGGTATTATGCTGAGTGAAATAAGCCAGGCAGAGAAAGACAAGTGTCCCATGGTGTCACTTGTAAGTAGAATCTTATATACAAAATAAACTGATGGACGAAATCTATCCAGGGACACGGAAGCATGGAACAGACGGAGGGGTCTCAGAGGGAAGGTGAGATTAACCAAAGAACTTAAATGCCTCGATGCATGACCCATGGACACACACAACAGCATTGGGAAAGGCCTGGGGGTGGAGGGGTCAACACGGAAAAAAACAGGACGTCTGTGATACTTTCAACCATAAAGATATATATTTAAAAAAAAAAAAAAGAAAATACTTTTCGATCATAAATGCAAGTTTAGGCAAAGAAATGGAATTTCAGGTACGACTTTTAACAAAGAGAAGTTCCTAGCAGGAGGTTTCATCTGCGTGTGGAGGGTGAATGTCAGAGCCCAAGGGTGTCCCTGGGGTCTAAGACCCATCTAGCTCCCCAACTTCCAGGTAATGTGGGGGGTGGGGGGGGCGTCAGGCCAACATTTTTGGACAAGGGCAAGATCCAGGAGGACTGATGACAAAGGCCGTGCCGAGTGACTTCGGATTTAGACAGTCGGCGTGGCCACCTGCTCGGAGCCAGGTGTGGGCCACCTGGAGTTTTCACACCTGGACACCGGGTCCTAATGGTTGATACAAAAAAAAAAAAAAAAAAAAAA